CAGGCGAAGGAAAAACAAGCCCCGTCATGATGGATTAGCACAAAACAAGTGTGTTTATTGGGGTTATAAAGTGTGCGAGTGTGTGTCCGTGTGTTTGTGTGAGCAATATTTCCAGTCCAGTGGATTTGATCTCATCGCTGACATTCTGGTTAAGAGCTGCTCTCCTGCTGCTACTTTGATCTGTGGTTCCCTTTTCTCTTCTCGTCTCCTCTGACTCCCACTCGCTCCGACCTCCAGGGACTGTCTTCCTGACTGCGGGCGGAGGAACTCCGCATGAAGCTGGGGATCCGAGGGCGGTGGGCAGGTCCGGTAGCCTCAGGTCACAGACCAGCAGGAGGGACTTCAGCTGGAACAATGGCCCAAACTGTAGTAAGGGGGACGAGATGACAGGGGGAGGGGAAACAATACATCTGTAATGGACTTCCTAAAAACCTGAAAGATTGAGAAAGGTTGAAGCTGTGTGTTGGATTCATCCGGTAAGTTTCTGAACCTTATTTTAAATTGATAAACGTTTGTGAGAAATTCTCGTCGCTATCGTCAGAACTTTGAGTCCAGAGTCACCTGAGCCTCAAGGTGCAGCTCAGCAAGAAGCTTCCAGTCATCATGTCATCAGATCAAAATCAGCTCCCTTTCAAGTTCTGGACCAGTTCTGATGGAATTCTGCAGCGATGGCTCCGTGTTTTGTTAAGAACTCTGTCTGCGGACTGTTTTGAATTCCCCACTTTTCCCATTTGTGCTTTTAATTCGCTTCTTCTTCCCTGCAGCAACAGCGACCAAGACTCACGGGAACTTTAGTACGAGATTCAAAACACGATTTCTCAGAAACTAAATTAAAACACTAATGAAACGTGGTGCAAGAAACGTCAGGGTTGTCACATTACCGGGGAGATCCCTGCGTTTCTCTGCTCAATCAAGTGCATCAATGTCTGTGATGTAGGAATCATTTCAACATTATACAAGTATTCTGAGAAACACTCTAATGCAATTGTATGTTATCTATCTATCTATCTATCTATCTATCTATCTATCTATCTATCTGTCACAATGTCCATGTTTCTTCAGAATTTTCTGCTGCAGCTGAACGTTTCCTTCCAGTACGATTACAAGGGTAAAGAAAAGCAAAGAACCCTGGTAATGGTAACTATTGTTGACTTTCCTTAAAGTGAAGGTGCAGGAATGCTTACTTGGGAGAAATCAAAAGATTTAAGCACATTTAACTTCACCTGTTCAGCCCTGAGCTGTTTTTCAGGCCTCTGCTCGACAGTGACATCCCACAATAACAACAGTTTATCTCTGCGATTTCAGTGATCGACACGGCCTTCGAATCGTTAGAGCCAATAGAATACAGCGACAGCCACCAAAATGAGTTAGCCAATCAGAATCAGCATCTTGAAGACGAGCCGCTTGCTGTTCACTCATTAGCTCCCTGAGGCTACCGAAGCCTCCAAAAGGCACCTGGAATGATTTCATTGTAACACAGGAAGTAGTACTAACTGGTTCCGGTGTGGATTTACCGATAAAATAAACTTTTCATGGCTAAACAGCTGAAGTTAGAGAAATTTTACAGCTACAGTTTGATGAAGCGGTTTGGGTTTGTGCTGTTCTTTGGGTTGTTTCTCGCTGATGCTTTGATCTCAGAGAGCTTTGGTGGACATGACTGGACTCTGTGGACTGTCTGCTTTGGTCTGAGGGGTTGTTGGTGCGTTTAGAAAAAAGCACCAAAGCCTGGAGCCAGAAATGTGGCGAGTGGGTTGACTGGGTGGCACTATGTCGACTTCCATATTTGATAATTAATTTAGGTGGTGTTTGAGTTGTGTTTGGGGCATCTAGAAATGGCTGATGTGCTCCTGTAGCCCAGGTTCTGCTGTTTAATGTGATGTGCAACATCACGATATTCTTTCAGGAGTTAATTCACTTGGGTGTTACCAATTGAAGCAGTTTAAAAAAAAAAAGATGGTCCAACAATTCTGTTTTTTTTGGTGGGAAAACTTATCCAACAACTGCTAGAAGTAGTTGATATTAGTTAAGCGACTGCCTCTTATGCTGTTATGGCAGTCCTAAATGTTACACAACACACAATGTTGTATTATTGGTCTAAAATTCAGGTGAAACATGAGGAAGACCAGTAAATAAACCACATGGTTTGTTGTTGTTCGATAACATTCAGTGTATGTTTTATTATATTTTAACAAACTTTTCCTTCTTTTTTCCCTTTTCAGTTTACACTCTGAGTGAAAATCGGTCCTCCTGGATGTTGGCGCCACCACAACTGGCTGATCTGTGACGTTTAACAAAGCCGATAATGGCCCGATATATCAGTAAATCATTCTACAACGCGAGTGAGTGAGTGAGTGAGCTTATGTGTGTGTGTGTGTCCGTTTGTATTTGGAGTCGGTGTGTGTGATTGGCACACAATGCAGATGTGTGGGCAGCAGATGCCATCTGGAGAAAGCGGAGTGGGCTGGTAGAGGGAGGAAAAAGGGGGGAGAGAGGGGTTCCTTCAGCACTTCTCCCCCCCCAAGAAAGAAAAAAAAAAGCTCCTGGTTTGACGGGAATATAAAGGAAACGATGGGAGTGTAATCAATCAAAAACACTGTGACTCAAATAAAGGGAGACAAGAGACACCGCCCGCCCACCGGCACCCCGTCCCGACCACCATCACGGTCAGTCAGCATCAAACTTTGCAGCTATTGGTCGAAAAAAAAAAGGAGAGATCAAAAGCGTCCCTGCAGGTTCCCCCCTCTGGCTCTTTAAGGCTGCCAGGCCTGTCATCAGGGGAAAGCAAGGGGAAAGTGGCTTTCATCTGTGGAGGTAATTTTTAGAACAATAGATGTTTGGGGGTAGTTTGGCCAATTTTGATCGAGCAGCAGATGCTTTGTCAGCTTCATTACGCTGGAAAAGATGCTTTCACAGGAGAGCCCAGAACCCCATAACGACGCTGTAGCACATCCCGGGAGATCAACAGAAACCCACACACCTCTCCATCTCCTCAGTCCCTGCAATCCAAGATCAGGACTCCGGAGCTCCCCTCTCAGACCAGTCATACATAAAAACACTACACTCTGCTTTTTTGAGTGGTATCTGTGAGGGAGGGGGGGAACAAAGCCACTCTGTCTACGGAAGCATTTGAGACAAAGGCAGGTCTATTCGCGATGAGATCACCCGTGTGAGAAAACTCCTAGATGTTTCCTTGTATGGGCAGAAATAAATATATCGAAGCCAAGGCTTGGAAGCTTGAGGTTGGTGTGACAGCTACAAAAAGGCATGGGAACCGGAGCGCTTTGGATCTGCCAAAGGTGGATGCTAGAGGCTACGGACAAGTTTTCCACACAAACACACACACATTCATATATGTATGATGCTGTAATGACAGGAAGAAAAATGCACCCAGACACCTGCTGAGTGAGGGGAACATTTCTTATAGCTTTAGCCCTCACTGGCTTGCCATCACAAACAGGGGTTGGAATCCAAACGACGCTGCCAAAATTCAAAACACACGCAGCTTCATTTGAATTGTAAAGATAGCAGATTTCACATTACAATGCCGAGATACTTTCCTGATCCGTGTGATGAAATTTTGTTTTGACTCTCCACCCGTTGGAAGACTCCGCAGCCAGACGGTTGATATGGATAGAGCGACTTGCCCAAGGACAGCCGAGGCAGGGTGCGTGTTTTCCAGCTGAATCACTGAGTCTCTAATCTGTAAACGGCCATATTCCACTCTGAAGGAGAAGTTGTGGTTGTAAAAGCCCGTCTGTGGTCAGTGTGTGGCGGTGCAGAACACCCTCACCTGCCCGCCGCACGGTGACAATCTCCTCTGCAGATCACTGAGAGGTTGCCTGCCAGCCACAGCAATGGTCACATCTCAGGGGAGCAATAGAAGACCTGTGTAGGAGGACATAAAGGAGACACAGCTGGCTTTCCTCAAACGTGAACAATGCAGCCTTTATTTGAAGAAAAACTGCAGAAGTAACATCAATTCCTGCACGTTGCTCCCCCTTTGCAGCAGCAGCACAACAGCAGGCCTGTTCTCTGCAGCCTGCACTGATGGATGGACCTGTGCGCACGTTTCATCATAAATACCCATAAAGCCTTGATAATATTAGAATAATAGCAAGTGACAATAATCCAATACAAGCTCGCCACCGATTCCAAAACGGGCATTGTCAATTTCACAAAGTGCAATACCGTGTAATGTTGGGGAGGTCATGCTCATGCTTGTTCTTTAATCCAATTTTGGAGGCAGAACAGGCGTCCGTGTCTCCGCTAGGTGGCGACCTTGGTCCGACGCGGCTCACCTCGGACAGCGCTGCGCTTGACTGGAGCCGCACTACATGCAGAATCAGCACAGGGTTCTGCTGAGGAACACAGAGGACACAAAGTGACGCATTGCATTTCACTCATGTACCGTGCAGTTTAGGTGCAGCTTCATATTGTTCGTTTAAAGTTAAAGCAGGCGCTGGTTTGTCTGCAAACTCTGCGTGCGGCGTGTGGGGAATGCGGACTGTGCGCGCGCGCACGCACACACACACACACACACACACACACACACTTCCAGCTCGTTCTCATGGGTGACAAAAGGGAGATAATTCCTCCAACACTTTATTTTTGTAATGTCACTATGAGACACCCAGACACATGGGGGGGTTCACGTCGCCTTTTGTACCTGCACCGGGGAAGACTTGGAGAAATGCCACCTCAAGTAATCACCACCTCATCGTATGTGTGTGTGAGAGACTACGCTGGTAAAGGAGACAGTGGGCTGTTTGGGGTGTGAGGGGGGGTTGTTAATGATTATTTGCCCCCCTCCTTGTCCATTCCGTTTCCTATATGGATTGACGGGGTCCGCGTCAGAGCGCACAGAGTAGACCCGCCTCCTGGCTGTGGAGCCGTGCGTTTCTCTCCCCCTGTCCGCTTCAAACCCATATTCCACTGGGAGAGAGAGAGAGAGAGGGAGAGAGAGGGAGCCAGTGAGAGAGAGAGAGAGAGAGAGAGAGAGAGAGCAGGACCTGGGAGAAGAGCAACGAAAGAAAAAGAGGAGAGAAAAACGGAACAACGACACAAATGGCACTCATGGCAGGGATTTTGTTCACGGCCACCTTTCTTATTTCTGGGATTTCTACATTTGTTTCGTCGGCACGGATATACCCCCCAAATGAAGGTAAGGTTGTTGGGAGAAAATAACTGCCGCGGACTTGTGACTTCATCCCCGCTCCGTGTCTGTGCGCGTTTGCGCCGCGGAGCCTCGTTCCGTGGCCCCTGGTCGCGAGTGCGCGGAGCCACGATGAGTTTAAACGAAGGAAAACACCGGCGGTCACCTTTACGCAGCGACTTTTGCAGGTTTTTTTTTTTTTTACGCGAACGAAACTGGAATGAGAAGTGGCTGTCCAAATGCGCATCGGCTGTCGTGGTCTCGGGCTCAGGCTTGGATCGTGCCAGCTGCCGAAAGACTGGGAATACTTGTAGCCCCGATGCGTGCTGCTTTCTGTCGGAGAGAGAGAGCGAAGGTCAAGCCGATCTCTGCTCCGAAAGCAGTTTAATGTTGCGAAGCATTCACGTAAACGGACATGAGTCGAAAAGAGAGAAAAAGTGAATTTACGAGTCAGTGGGAGATTCGCAAATCCGACACACATCGACTGACCGAGCAGCTCTTAATCCATCAATTTCAGAATTGTTCGCAGTGATCGCTGCTGCTGTCACATCGAGCTGTCGTGGAGGAATTCTAATTCCAAACCAATTCGAAAAGTTGAATTGTGCAGCTCTGCGCACAGAAACACACCGAAGTAGACAATATTTACCACCAGTTAATAAAAGATTTCGGCTATTCTCTGCTGTATAAATGTTGTGGAGACTGAAAAGCGCCCCAATACCAAATTGCAAGATGTTTAAAATGTTTGAACAGCGTGTCGTTTACGAAAAAAGAGCTCGGAGGGTTTCGGGACTGGAGTTGCCTGCACGGAGTCCCGGGGCGCGAATGTAGGCGATCCAGATTGGAAATGTTAGGCCCGATACAGATAATGTCTCACTTTCTGTCACCAACACTATCAAAATCAACACTTTATCTAAAACAGCCTCATTAGATGCATGTCTGTCCTGCTGTGCGTTTTGAGTCTGTCCTGTTCGGCAGAGCAAAGCCGTTTGAGACAACAAGTCCACAGTGATGCACCACGGGCTCCGTTTGTAAATCTAAAACACATACTTCAGTTTTCAGACGAACGAATCTGCATTGCTCCTGATAATTTATTCCACAGAGTTATATATTTATTTATGTTTCCATACTGAACAGTTGGTTGAGCATTTTACGCGCACCGGATTCAAAACAAGCCTAAAAATATTCATGTACTTGATGCTTTTTTTTTTTTTGGTCTAAATCCGGCAAACACATTTTAAATTCATGCTTCACGTGTATATTGTATACTTTTTCCACGAGAAAGTATTTTGTATTACTGTCGCGCTGTCAGAGGCATTTTAAACGCTTTTGTTCTTCAAGTTTACGCACAGAGCTCCAATCAGACGCGCCTAAAGCCGATGGTGAGCAAATGGAAAAATCATTATTTGAAAGACACTGTGGGAAACGCCTTTTGTCATCTCTACAAAATCATTTTCTTAACGAAAATCAATCAAAACGACGTCTGTACGGCGCAGCGGGGGGATTACGCAGAACAAAACATTTGCAAATATACCGTTTAGGTGTGTGTGGCCTGTAGCTTTCCTTCTCTCCCTGCACTGATATTCATCATAAGGATATTTTCCTACTTGATAAATAGCTTTAACAGCTCTTTCTATTCATTAAAAAAAAAAAAAAAAAAATAGGAAGCCATTTTTCTCCCTCAGAGTGTTAGGGCCTAATTGGATTATATATGCCAATGCGGATGTTGTGTGGACGGGCTCAGACTGCATGCTCACTTCTCTCATTCTTGTTTTCCAGTCACGTTATTGGACTCCAGATCCGTACAGGGGGAGCTGGGATGGGTCGCCAACCCGACAGAAGGAGGGGTAAGTTCTGCAAAGAAGTGTCCCCTTGTTAGGACGCATGGTCCCCTATTGAGCAAAAATAGATAATATCCATTATTGGCAGGAGCTGAGGAGTGGACCGCCAAATAGATACACAGCCCCCTTTGATAGGATTTTGTCCTGGTGAGCCCTGGATGGGAATATCTTTGTTGATCACTTATTGTGCATGTGTCTGTACCGGAAGGATGTTAGCTCAGGGTGAAATGATTTCGCCTACAGTACACTAAAATATGGATAAATGAGAAAGTGCAGTTTTGTTGCACACAGAGGCCCTCTGGAACACCCTCCAGGACCCCATGGGGTCCCGGGAATCCACTTTGAGAACCATCAGGCTATAGGCACCCCACTCACCCCCAACCCCTGCTCCTCTTTCTCCCCGCTCCCCTTCTCTCTAACCACTCTGTAATGGTCAGATGCAGGGGCCGATACTGCAGCGGGCGTCAGGTTTCCTGAATAGACGGTGGATTGAATCGGTCTTTGTGGAGAAACTTTATATCCCTTTCCACCATTGAGTCGCACAGAGAGAGGGAGTGGGAGAGAGAGGAACTTGGCAGCTGAGAGAGGGTCCTTTGGAATGGATGAATAAGGGGGAAAGTGCAGCGGGTTTCAGCTCTTGCCGCAGGACGACCAGCTATAAAGCAACAGGGAATAGGGTCAAGCAAATGCGTGATCTCTCAGCCTAATTGGGGTATCTACAGTGGCGCTGATAAGAGAAAGAATATGGGCTGCAGTGGGTCTCACAGTGGCCACAGGCATCAGATATAGGGAAAGGGGAAGGCACATGCCGGGCCTGAGCCAAGTCTAAATCTGATCCTATAGAACGCCTAAATTCATATTTGTCACTCAGCAACCACTCCTTCATTTGTTCCACTCGCACAAACGTGACGATGAGCACAAGTGAGCCTTTCAGTGTTTTATGAAAATTAATACAAATTAGCAACAATCATGTCAGCTAATGAGTGTGAACCCGGGGGACAGAATTTCACCTTGTGCAGCTGTTGCAGCCGCGACTTGCAAGCCCTTTTTCTCAAAGTGAACTTGGTCGGTGCTGCGCTCGGGTCCTCCCCTCAGCCATTTTATCACAAACAAGTGATTGACAGGGTCCTGGCAGCTCCGGCGAGCCTGCATTCACCCTCTCATTATGACCAATTGGCCTTATTCTGCCTCTTTCCTGCTATCGGGGAAAGGTGCAGCCTTATCTCAGTGCAGCTTGATTTCCACAACAAAAGGGGGGCTACGGGGAGAGAGCGAAGTGGAATGGAACAGCAGGGAATGATAGACATTTTCTCAAATCATACAGCCGCAGCTATGTTTAGCATTATCCCACTCTACTCCGGGGAAATAAGGCTTTAATCCAGATTGTTTATGATAAGGCATCAAGTCAAATCTGGCAGAATAACCCACATCTTCCGCCGTCCCATTATGGCTTTTTTTTTTCGCACAGTTTTCTAAATGGCTGAAGCTACAGCAGCCAAAGGCCTGTCTGCTCTTGTTTACAGCCGAGCTCAGTCAAAGTCTCTATTTAAAACACACGGTGCAAAACTTAAGGGAACACGCCGCTTTGAGCCTCTCAAGACATGCTCGTATTTGCTCAGCGGTGCTCTGTCGAGAGGGGAACTTTATCATAAGTAAAACAAACATTCCCTCTCGGCGAAAAGAAGCCAGGCCGCGCTGGATAACGTAATCCATGCTCAGTGTCTCCCTCTCTGCTATGAGTTCATGCTAACATCAGCGAACATGTGTGCCTCGCTCTCCCAGTGCCCGTCACGTATGCAGATGGAAAGCAGGCACGCATTAGATCATTAGCATTTTTTTTCTGAGGCCCTTTGCATCCACTTTACCCTGTGTTTGCATTTGCTCCTTTTCACCTATTCTAATGCCCTGAACCTTGCGGCGGTGTCAGTGTGTGTGTGTGTGTGTGTGTGTGTGTGTGTGAAGGGGATTTTGTATACCACTCCCCAAGTGATTGAACCGTCGGCCTCCGTGAGGCATAGGACTAATTATACATTTCCTTTCTCATAGTGGAGGAGAAGCGATGAATATTAATATCTTTATGATTCCATATTAGGAGCTAACAAGTCTATTAGGTGTCATTCATAAAATATGCATTAACTTTAGCTTTCAATTAATTGCTCTGCTGAGACCCAGATATTGACTGAACTAACAAAATGCTCTTTTGCGCCGTATCGCTCATTCCTGGCATAAACCGGCCCCCAGTCACGTGTAATACCTGCATATGCCATTTTAATTAGGAGGCCATTTATTTCTGATGTTTCTCAGATGTTCTTAACCTTTAACAATGCTGCTGTAATGCTTTAATAGGTTTTTCTTACAGTTTCTTGAGCTATGGTTTGGGACATAAGTAATTCAGTAAGCAGGCTGCAAGTTTAATAAAGTTTAAGGATCTGCTGGTAACGGTTTTAATGTTTCCTTTCCCCAGTGGGAGGAAGTGAGCATTATGGATGAAAAGAACATCCCCATTCGGACGTACCAGGTGTGCAATGTCATGGAGCCCAGTCAGAACAACTGGCTCCGCACCGACTGGATCCCCCGCGGCGGTGCCCAGCGTGTCTACATCGAGATCAAGTTCACCCTCCGAGACTGCAACAGCCTCCCGGGGGTCATGGGAACCTGCAAGGAAACCTTCAACCTTTACTACTACGAGTCCAACAACGACAAAGAGCGCTACATCCGCGAGAACCAGTTCGACAAGATAGACACCATCGCCGCCGACGAGAGCTTCACTCAGGTGGACATCGGCGATCGCATCATGAAGCTGAACACGGAGGTCCGGGATGTGGGAGCCTTGACCCGCAAGGGTTTCTATTTGGCCTTCCAGGATGTTGGAGCGTGCATTGCGCTCGTTTCCGTCAGGGTCTTCTACAAGAAATGTCCTTTGGCTGTGCGTAACTTGGCCCAGTTTCCCGACACCATCACTGGGGCCGATACGTCCTCGCTTGTGGAAGTTCGTGGCTCGTGCGTGGATAATTCAGAGGAGAAGGAGGTTCCCAAGATGTACTGCGGGGCTGACGGAGAGTGGTTGGTGCCCATTGGGAACTGTCTGTGCAACCCTGGATATGAGGAGCGTAATGCAGAATGCCAAGGTAAAGAACTGACATTTGTCTCAGCGTTTTTTAGCCCTTTTCTTGAGTTTTAGTTCCCTCTCTGTCCTCCAATTCCTCCCACTCCGACAATATCCTGCCTGTGTCATTTCTCCCCTTCCTGTCTCTGCTTCTTTGTCTTTATCCCCCTCGTTTTGTTCTCTTTGTCCTTCCCTCTCCTCCCTCCCTCAATTCACCCACCTTGCACTCTGTTGGATGTTTTTATCTCCTCGCTCTCCCACTCTCCACAGTCTTCTTTCCAGTGTCTGCTTGGGTGATAGAGGCAATGATGACTGTAAATGGAGTAATTAGCAGGCCCACTGGGAGGTGTTGTGCAATGGGATGCATCCCAGGAGAGCCGGTGACACCAGGAGAGGAGGGTAGAGCTCCAACTGGTTTGCACTACCGCTGCGTCTTTCACCCCCACCTGCTCTTTCTCTTGCTCCCAATGGAGCCCGAAGCTGGGGAAAAGAGATAGACAGCTTTAGACGAGGAGAAGGAGAGAGAAAGAGTTTATAATTCCAAGCAGGTATGAGAGGAGTAAAAATACACAGCTGTGAGATGGGGTTGAAATAGTGCTATTTGGTGGTGGGGAATAGCCCTGTGTGGACGATTATTCTCGTCTCAGTTTGCCGTGATCCTATAGCAGGCGCTTTGATGAGGTTTTAAGGTCACTGCAGAGTGCCTCCTTCCAGAGTTTTTTTCAAATCAGGAGCATGATGGAGCTCAAAGACGCCCAGTAAACACTACTCACCAATAGATGCTTTTGCATTTCTTCTTTTTAAAGCTTTTTCCGTTGTTAAATTGCATTTTTTAAAAATAGTTTCTGTCCTAATTTACCTCGCTTGTTTTATTTCACCCAATTGATTCTAGGTTATAGCATTCAGCACTGTATTGTTACGAGCTTTTAGCAGCTGTTTCGTGGATCGCATTCAGCCTTCTGCAAAGCCGAGGCACAGTTGTAAACTGGCCAGATGAGCGGATGCCAATTCTGCCATGATAGTTTATTGGTCAACCCCACCCGCCACCCACCGCCGTCACACACAGAAAGCAGTGGGCTGCAGCAGCGAGGGGTCAGAGGCTGGGCACGGGTGATTAACAGGGGGACGGACCACTACACCTCTCCTAATTTACGAGGGAGCCTTTATCTCGGAGGACTAATTGCATGACAAACAGGGCCGCTGATTTAAGGGTACCACTGGCTGCTCGGGGGGTGGGGAAGGAAAAGGGGTTCAAGTAGTCACAGATGGGTTTGTGTGTGTTCTTCAGTTTGACAATAAATAAATAAAGCATCATATTAAGCATAAGAAAGGCCACGTTTCTGTCTCTGGCTTCAAACAAGCAGACAGAAATGGAGGGTTGAGGGAAGGAGACCACAGTGCACTTAGTTACAGACTTAAAGCAGATCTCAAGACTTTCTGCTGCACAGTTTACTACAATAAGCTCTCAAGTCAGAACGCGAACCCTGATCTCATATTGTATATCATCATGTCAGCTCCTTATCTCTCCCCTTTAATTCCTAGTGAGATAAAAAAAAAGAAAAGCTAACCCTCCACAGAAGGCAGTAAAGGAATTGGAAGCCTTGATTTTATATGACTAATGCAGTCTCTGAGTGTTTGCCACCCTGGCACTGCAACTGCTGCTTTTCAAGCCAATATATCCATTTAGCTCACGTATCACTGCATCTCCTCGGGTTTGTTTAAGTTTGCAGTGCCAGCACAGCCACTCCATTCACTTTTAGCTTCAGTTACACTCTGTATAATTTTTTTTTTCCACTTGCATCTGAACGCTGGATGACATGTGTTCGGTTCACTCTGTGGCGTCCGGGCGGGTCGGCTGCAGTGACCAGAGGGTTAAGAGGTGCTGGCTGCTGTTGGTCTTCAAGTGCGCTGATGAGCTGGTTAATATTCCCTGATGTGACAGGCTCTATGGGGCTCCTCTGGGTCCGTGTTGACCAAGAGACAAGCTGGTTTTTGGGGGGAGGGGTGGACATCGAGGGAGAGTTTGGATGTTTAGTATTTTTTGACATATAAAAAAGTTTCAACAAGTGTATCGGGCCATGCTCGCACTGGGCAGCCTGATAAAGCCCTTTTCTTTGAAAGTTTTTCTATGGAGCCTGGTTGTACGAGTGTGTGTGTGTGTGTGTGTGTGTGTGTTCGCATGCCTGTGTGTCTGTTCTTGTCTCATGTACGTGCGGGGTTACAAGGGCACCTTGGCCCCTGGTTCCCAGCCCAGGATGAATGGGCTCTCCTCCATCATTGTTTGGGGTGGTGATGTTTGGGGGGGAAAAAAAGAGGTAGAGGGGGCGCCGGCGGGGTACGTCGGGGCTGTATTCTCCACCCCTGGCAGGAGGTCAGAGGTCGTCCCCTTCTGCATCCATCTTTCTGCTGCGTCTGACAGGGTCGCGGATCCAGGATTGATTAAGACGTCAGAGTTTTGACAGCTGCGACGGGGGGAGTGTGAATGTGCGTCTGCGCTTGATGCGGACCAAAGGTGGCCAGGGTGTACTCTCAGGGCCAAGGCAAGAGGGGCAACCGGAGCACCGAGGGCCAAGGGGGCCCCCTGATCTAAAGAGAGACGGGGCTCTGTCTGTTTGCTTTTGGGATCCCTTTCCCTGTTAACCACTTCCCCCCCTGTGCGCTCTGCGGGCAAGGTGGGGGTCAGGGCGTCCTCTCGCTCCTCATCTGGTGAGGGGGTGGCTACTGTCGGAGGTGCAGGAGTGTTGGTGGGAGGGAGAGATTAGTGAGAATTATGTACGCCATTATGGGGAAATGATAATTACCTTAACTGCTTTTTTGTCACTGAGTGAGTGACCGACAGAGTTCTACCTCCACAGAGCAATGATGTCCCTTCAGCAGATTTCTAGTGCTGTGTGTGTGTGTGTGTGTGTTTGCCTTCAAGTGGTATTTGTTGGTGTGTGTGTGTGTTTGTTGAGGATATTGCTCGGTCGAGGTGTGAAGGCGACAGACGTTTTTGACACTGCAGACTGCTAGCTCATGCTCGAGCTGTGAACCAGCTTCCCCCTCCGCTCCGCTCGCAAACATGTTCAGAGCACGCCTACCGACATAATTTATCTCCAAACCTCTTATCATAGCCACAGCTGAATGCCCAAACCAGCCTCTAACCTATCCCAGAGTTTAGCCTCAACCCGTCAGAGTCTAAACTATCAGACGGCCCGTTAAGGATGGATCACAGTTTCTATTGTTGTTTATTCTGACTATTATTTTCTTGTTTATTTAATATCGTTTTACTATAAAATGTCAGGAAATGGTGAAAACAGCATCCACAACTTAAATACTTTCAGGGTGCTGTCATCAAGGTGGAAGGAAACCAGAAAATATTCACATTTAACGAGCTGGAATCACAAAATCTTTGTGAAAAATGACTAATAATTAGTTGGTGATTGATTTACCAGTCGACGAGTTCGACTCAGTGTTGAGTCACAGAGCGAGGAGCAGACAAAATGCGCTCACTCTCACGGTCAAAAACAAAAGATTGAGGCTTCAGAGGACATTAAATGGGCTGACATTGATTTAATGGGGACTTACCATAACCCAAACCACTAAACTAAGTTTTCATACTAAAATGTAATGATTTATGTTATGGGACTTGCTTTTTTGTCTCTAAAAGAGAGGCGGGTTCCCACAACGTGACTGTAAACAGATTTATGTCGCCTTAACATGAGTAATAAAAGCTCACACACACATATCTCGATGGTTTCTAACATGGCTTCAAAAGCATCTATTTTTAAATGCCTTTTTTTTTTTCTTCTTGTATGAACTTTTGTTTCATTAATGCACAAAAACAGAATGTGCTTTATGTAAATGTTAGAACAGCCCTGAGAGGAGCAACAGCAGCTTTCATGATCTTCATTTTTTATGACGGTGTGTGTTTCCTCAAAACCTGTTTGCATGTGTGTGTGTGACGGCTCCGGGCCTGACGGTGATGTCAGCGTGTCGTCGGTGCATCTTCTCACCTGAGGGTCCCTCCCCTCCCCTCCCTCCCCTCCCTCCCCTCCAGCACTATTCCCAGCAGCCTTTGCTGAGCTGCAAACTCTCATTGGTTGTTGGATTAGGAGGTTTTAGGGATGAAGTTTCTCTCCGGTGCTCCTCTCATTGTGTCTCTGTGTATCTAGGTCTCCCATTCTCTCCCCCCCACCTCTGTTGACAGTGTTAAATATGCACTTGGGAGCATCATTCTAAATTCACCACGTAATTCTATTTAGCCCTCCGGTCCCCGACGGCTTTAAATACACACTCGGTCCCTCGCTTTCCTTCTCCATCCCCCCCTCCTGTTTTCTTCCTCCTCCTCCTCCTCCTCCTCCTCTTCTGCATATACACAAATTAAGTATTTGCATCTCCTTTTAGGCCTTCGCTTGTTTTTTTCTCCCCCTTCGCTCTTCAGATTTCCTGTTGCTTCAGTGGCTCTTTATTTACTCCTTTCATATGTCTCTTTCTCTTTTTATATCCCTTCCATTTTTACTGCTTAGTTTCTGTTAGCAATTTTCACCCATTCACACTGTCTTTTTTTCTCTCTCTCCTCCTCTCTGCGCCGGCCGTCGAGGTGGTTAGTGTTTGTCAGCCTGTCTCTGGTGGCAGCAGCAGGAAGTGGGCTGAATAATGAGATTACCTTCAGCGTTGGGAGGGAGGGAGGCGGCGAGGAGCTGCACACTAAACATCATCGCCCGTCACTCCCCCCCCTCACCCCCCTACCACCCCACATGCAATAGTGACACATGCCAGCGTGCACACAAACCCTTGTAACGAACATCCATGCAGAGAGGGACGTTTTAGGAAGCGATAAGTGCACGTACTCCCTCATACGTGCACGCTCTTATACAAGCAAACTCAAATATCTGAGCGCACACACACGCAGAAAATTACACGTTAAGTAATAGCCTTGGAGCACGCTGATGTATATGTACAGCAGATGCTACACACACACTCTCACACACTCTTTAGTATGCTTTAGCAGACACACTCTCCGAGCCGAGCAGAGTGCAG